TTTTTTTTTTTTTTTTTTTTTTTAAATCGAGGGACTATAAGATGATCGTACCGAGACATATGAAGTTGGTACTTTCAATGCATGCATCATTTATCATTTCCCCCACCCGCCCTAAAAAGGAAGGTTGACTTTCTTTGTTTGGTAGACAGGTGTCACCTAACATTGCGGGGGTGCCTTCTGAAATTCAGGTCCTACTTTGTTTTGTATAGAGGAAGTGATGGAATGTGAAGAAATTCAAATAAAGGCTGTGAAAACTGTCAAATTGTTTCTTCGCTTTCTTTTTGTCCATGTATTAGCTTTTAAGCTGCACACTAACATAAAGGCCTTGTAACTTAAACTTTTACCATTTCCAATAAAGTATATATTTCTCTAAAGAGAAATGGTCTACAAGGGTTTCAAGTGTTAATGTATTTTTATGACCCCAAAGGATAGCTCATAAAGTTTGATAACATGTACTTTGGGTAAAGTACACGTCTGTGCTTTATGTCAGGTTTTCTCTGTGCTCAAATGGACTCAAATGGAGCCTGTAAGCCTGGGCTTCACGTTTAGTAAATGATTGTGCTGCCTTATTTCACAGAAATCCACTATAGCCAGTGTAGCTAAGACGACCCTGTTACACCTTGTAACAGAAAAGCATGTTGCCATGCAAAAATGTATATTAGGCAGTTAGTATGTTGCATTACTTGTGTACTGATACTCTTGTATTCTTAAAAAGGGAAATCCACATGTGCATAGAAGCTCAATTTTGCTGATCTGTGTGAAGTAAAATGGTTATTTTTAGGCTTGTGGTTCTCTGAATGTCAGGAACGGGGCCAGACTGAATATGATTTTTCTAGGAGAAGGTGGGAAATAAAAAAAAAAAAAAAAGTCCTTCCATTCAAAGTTTTGTGGATAATCCCCAGCTATTCTAGTCTGCATGCTGAAGTATCATTGTCCAAGATGCATTTATCAGTGCGTGTGTGGGAAAGTTAGAAAAAGTATGAGAACCACAGCTTTAGTCTTTATCCTGGTATTATGCACAGTTTATGTTGATGGGAAATGCAATCTTGAATTTTCAGACATAGCAAAAAAACACTGAAATCTATTAAGTGTTTTGTTTTTGTTTTTTCTAATATTTATCAGGAGTGGCTTTGAAGCACAAGGCTGCCCAGAGTCATGTACACTGTGTCTCCGGCCGTGGCCACTCAGCAAGGTCAGTGCTAGGCATGCTGGCTTATTCCAGACGCTGGCAGTCTATAGATCAGGGAAACTGACTGTGGAAGTAGGTCTGGTCTTAAGGAATGAAAGCAGCTGCACCTCAGAGGCCAGACGCAGTAAAACTTTACCGCAGTGGGGGCGGGGGTATGACACCTGCTGGTATTTGACCAGATAGTCATTTCAAATATGTAATTGTGGATTTACTGAGTATTTTAGCTAATAATAATGACAGTCTATTCTGAGTGAAGTATTCAAGCAAAAACAGACAAGCAGCCCCTGCCCCACATTGTTCATGTTTAATTTTGTGACATCATTCTGTTCAGATGTTGAAGACATGGTTTTGCAGATATTATTACCAACCACCTCTAATTAATTAAAGCAAGCAGTGTAGTAACTGTAGTTCCTTTAAGAACAAGCAAATTAAATGTGCCCTGTTAGCTTGTATTAGCTCACCTTACAGCAAATACAATGCTCAGACAGCAGGTTAACATTTTGCTACTGTAATAATTCTAGACTAGACTAGACCATCGAGGTCACCATCTATCAACGATATTTGGCTGAATTCTGGCTGCATTGAGCTGATTTTACAGCTGAATCCAGGCTAAAGTAAGCTACAAATGTTAGCCAAGGTTTTCAAACATATTTTGATTTATTTCTTTATTTTTAATAAAGTACGTAAATGGACTTTGCATGCTCATTGCCAGCTCTGTTTTTTTAAATTCTTGGACTCCTCTAGAGTGGCTTTACATGACTCACAGTTCAAAATAATCCCTGTTTATCTTACTGTGGACTTCAGTGCAGGCTCTCAGTTTTTAAACTATCTGAAACAAGCTATTTTGCATCCAGTATCTGTGTATCCATTATTGCGACAGTATATATATGAGATAAACCGAGGGAAAGGATGATGGGTCGACTTCAGAGAAATGATAAGAAAGGTTTGTTGCAGCAATAATAAGTCTCAGAGTGAGCGAGATTTACTTAAGGAACTCTATTGCAGGGCATATGACAGCCTATCGATACCTCCGACATCTCAATATGACAAGATATAATAGCACACATTTCAGGAGTGTAGTAGGCCATTATGATGCTTTTATACAATGCATTTTCACTGCATTGCATACATTACACTGTGTCCAGCAAGCAGCTGATCCTGAAATGTTTTGTGTTGTTGATGAGTGGACTACCAGTCTCTGGTCTGCTGCACATTTGTGAAATGTTATTTTGGAAAAAATATGTCTGTGCTGTTGAAAACAACACCACAGATGACCACCCTTGCCATCCAAGTTCAAATGAACCCTGGTAAACTTGCTCCAGTGCCCTTTTCCAAAGAGTTAAGATCCCTTCTTTGCGTCTTCGCTCCTCCCAGTTTCCCTGTAAGAGGGTCGGGTAAAGCTGGCATGGCCGATGAGGATCTATTTTTATCAGCTGCTCCTGTGCTCCTGTTAAACCCGAGCAGTACAAGTTCAGGATGAATCGCCCGGGTGACGATGTAAACAGACACTCAAACACACAGCCTACTAGGTGACATATATCCTGGCAGGAAGGGGCCTGGAGGGGTGGGAGTGGGCTGATGCAGGCCGCATGTTTGACACATACACGCACACAAACTCCATTTCACATTACTTACACCACAGGAAAGCCAGCCAGCTGTTTACCAGGATTCCTGTTGAGCACATGAGTAAAAGAGTACACTGTAAACGCTGATTCCTCGATCGCTGTTACACTGAAATTTAATATGAGACACTGTCAGATGTTTCTTGGATTACATGAGGCTCATATGATGCTTGAAAACATTTCATTGTAATTTTTTTTTTTTTTACTATATTCCCTAGAAGTGATCTTTGAAAAGTATTTTTGAATTGTTTTTCATGTATTCAGAACTGGTCTGTGATGTTTACAATGCAGGCTACACCGTCTTGCATTTGGCTCAGTAACGCTGACGATTTCTTCACTGTTTGTTGCACAATCGCTGCTGTTGCCTAATGTGTCACCGGTAACTTTCAACAGACTTTCTGTGCATGACTTTACGCTTCCGCTGTAAACATACTGTGCTTAGTGTGCATATGTCAGAGATCAGGGTTTCGATACCCAGTGGCACCACTGGTTTACAGCTCTGTTTGTTGATACAGGTGTCCTGTTACACATACTCAATGTGCAAGCCTCATCACATGTTGCTACATGGAATTCTTTGCAGAACAGAAATCATTGCCTTTTAAATTCAACTGTCAATAGCAGAGGTCACGCTGTCCAATTTCTGGTATGCTACTCATTCATTAAACAGAATATCATGTATTGTCAAACATCCACCATACCTGCTGCTGAAACAAGCATGTATATACTGTATATATAGTAACCAGTTATCCATGCCTTCTTTACTTCATAATTTATTCAAACATCTTTGCACTCCTCACCATTGCACATACAGTATGGATATGCCATACATGTTGTTACTATACTGGCTGTTCATTCTGTTTACACTGAATGCAAAGGGAAAAAAACAGAGCCCAGTTCCTTGTATGTGCACACATACTGATTCCGATATATAATAGTGAAGAATTATATTTTGGTTTAACATCTACCAGTGATTTAAAAAAAAAAACCAAACCCTTATATGTGAGATATGCCCAGGTTGGTTTGTATTACAGTTACTTTACAATGTAATAAGATAGATATAAGGGTGTTATTGTCTTAGAAAACATGATGTATGTTAATGAATTTGTAAATATTATCCAGCAATATATATTGATGTAAGAATTACAGATCCTTTTTTGGTTTCATAATGAGTACTTACAGCTGGGAAAACAAACGTATACTTCTAATGGAGCTATTGACATGAAATCATTACCAGATGTTGGTAACATCCCAAATAATCTGTGCATACAAAGAAACCAAGACAAATGAGTCCTTAAATTAAGCCATGTGTAGTGGCGTGGAATGACACAAGCACATATGAAGAAAAGGAGGC